CCCCAAAACCCCAAAACCCCAAAACCCCGCAAGTCCCAAAATACATGTACTTCGAAAAATTTGAAATTAAATCTTAATTTTTTCTTATCCAAGGTATTATGATTATTAAAATCAGTCTGATTCCATCATTTGTTGTTGCCTGTCAGAGGATCTATCTGTGCATTAAGATTCTAGATGTCTCCTCTTGATTTCCTCAGTCTTTACTCTTACCTTGAAATCTAATAGGAATTCCTCCTCGAGCTTAAGCTTTGTTTTTCTTTTGTAGATTAGCACATCTTAAGTCTCTGACTCAAAGTATAGTTTGTAAGTTTGAGGCTGAATCTATATTTAATAGTTAATGTCAGAGGAATGATATTTTACTCTGTGTATCAAATTGTTTTCAAACTCAACTTGATCTATATGATTGGTCCTTTTATCTGTGAACATCCTTCTTAAGAAGAGATTGGAAGATTGAGGAATTTCATCAACATCACTAAGGGATTATTATCATTAAATCAAGATACCGATTCATTATCAGAGTAGATTCAGTATAGTTTAGGTTATCCTGAGTTTACTTTTTATCAGTAAATTAGTAAGGGTTTAGTGAAAATGAATGAATTGTAAGCACATTAGAAAATTTGCTATACATTAATCTTACTCCGTACCCATTAAAGTTATTAATCTCTCTATTTATGTTAGTGAAAGATGAAAATTACTGCATGCAAGTAGAGAAGTTTGAAAGATATGTCGGCTCATTATACCAAAGCTCAGATTGATCTGTTTTCTGCTTCAAGCATATGTCTGCATTTTACTTGAACTTAAGGTAAAGCTTCAGACTTTTTTAGCAGGAATCATCATTAGATATGTTAAGGAGTTGTTTAACAGTCTAAATAGCTTGAAACAATTAATACTTACTGAGACAATCAACTTGTCGAACGAAAATAGCAAATATGCCTTACTTCCTAGCAAAGCCCTAGCGAAATCCTCATATTTATTGAAGTCTGCTCCTGATTGCATCGCAACAAGGATTCCTCCTAGGAAAACTTCAAATCTCTCCTTCCTGAATTCATCTATTCTCTTTTTAAGGTTGTCATCATTTCTAGAATTCATGTCATCTTAAACTTTATCAGCCACAAGCTAATGAGCTTTCATTAATCTCTCATATATTGTGTAAATCTATCTCAAGATCACATAGAAATTTTAGCTTCCATATAAAAGCCTATATTCTGGCTTGTGATAGGGATAGAAGGGTGAGTTTTATACAAGATTCACTTCATCTTTGCTATAACTTTGCAAATTTAAGGGCTTTAAGCTCTGGTTTATTGAGTTGCCTTTGTTTATTTGCTTAGCTGTCTCTGGGGATAACTGATTTCCTTAATCACTGCCATTCTAATCCCCCTACTTAACATCACTATCCTTCTTCTCTTCATCCATCATTTCATCTTATGCTTTGGTTTAAATCCTTTCGTATTAGAAATCCTCCTTTACTTTTCCTTCGTAATAGTCTCTTTAGCATATATAATCAACTTATGATTCCTCGAGGTAGATTATTTCTTTACTCTCCCTTAAAATATCTTCAAAGTTTTGAACTTCCATAAACTCTTCAAGTATTGCCCTGAGAGATTATCGCATTTTTTCTTTTTCAGCTCCTCCATTGTTTGCCAATCTAATACCGACGAGAATCATTTGCAAAGTTAAATCAAGGATTTCTTTATTGTTAAATAGAAACCTCATATGAGGTAATTTATCTGAGTTAGCCTGAAGGACTTCTTTTGAGCAATCCATATTTATAGGATGATCCGTGCAAAGATTTTCATTTTCAGTCAATTCCTTGCTATGGACTATTATAGACTCAAATTATGAGTATGTACAGTAGAATTAAAAATCTTTTGATCCACCAAGCATTTGATTAAGATTTTTGCTCTTAAAACTCTATTAGCCTAGATTTTTAAGTTCTAGTATATAATTTTTAGAGGACTAGTTTTTCTTCTCAAAGGATTTGAAGTGGAAAGATCTATGATCAAGGGATTTCATGAAGTTTTTTTCGCATTAATCTCTCCAGTTTTTTATATACTCCTGCTTCTCTTGCACATTCTTCTCATAAGAGTTTTTGAACCTATCATATATGATTGGAATGGCTTTTGCAGGACTAATCGGGAGTAATCTTAGAATTTCTTATCCAAGATCTCCATATATTTTCTCAATTTACTTTAGTCTTAATTTGTTAAACTTTCTTGGGTCAAGTTTGAATTCAGCTTACTCTGCATCATTTAAAGCGCTTATTTTAGCTTTTTCTTCTTCCAAGACTTTCATAGTCTTATAGATATTGCCAATATCAAAATCAATTTTATAGATGTCATCTTCTACTTTGAATAGAGCATCCTCATATTAATTCTTAGTCTTGAATTTGAAGGATTCAGACCCTTAAGGTAGACTTGAAAATTCTTCGTTGAATACTTCCTTGCAAAGGGCCCTAATGTCCGGTTTAGACCTACCCTGACATAGGGGTTTAGGGAATTCAGGAGGCATTTCGAAGTAAGAGTATGATAGTTTTTTGAAGTGGCTAGTATCAAATTCTGAAAAAGGTTTGCAAAGCAAATTGTGATGTCTCCTAGTATTATCTCTCGATGCTACTATTGTCCTGAAAAGATGCAACAAATCCTCATTTGACTTATCAAATAAAGGCGATATCAGATCGAAGAGTTCCGATTGGTTAAAAATACCCTCAATATAGCAAAAAAAGCACTTCATAATATCGTCGAAAAATGACTCATCCTTAATTGATTTTCTTAAATTTTCGAAAAATGAGTACTCAGTCTTTGGTAGATGCTTTAATTAGTTTTGGAAGATACCCAAAACAGGTGTTACTTGACCTCTCTGATTGTTGCCAAACTTGGACTCTTAAATGATTGTAGTCTTAGTCTAGGTAACAACACTATAGTCTGATTAGTCATCCCCAACTTAGCTCATTGCCCCCTTTTATATTGCCTAGGGCTTAAAAACTCCACCTCTTTGGTTTGGTTTAGTTTATATTGGGGCAACTTTTTCACCTTCAAGTTTCTGATAGGCATTGTTAATATACAAATATAACATACCTTAGTAATTTTCTTTCCTTTTTGAATATTTTGGCTCTAATCCTGTCTTTCACCATTCTGAAACTAATTATTAGCATCTAAGTAGTCCTTTGAGTCCTAAAATTTAGATTAATAAGGAATTAAGAGTACTCTGTCCATTTGGAGGAATCTTTGAAATTTCTACTGCAGAGGTGGGAAAGGCATGAGAAGCTCTTCGATGATTCTATTCATTTCGTCCATAGATATTTCCTTATGCTCATGCCTTTTCAAAGTTGAGATGAATTAGAAGTAGACCTCATTCTTTGCAGTTGTCTATAAAATTCATAAGTTAAATGCAAGTGGAAAGTTCAAAAAATATACTTTGATCTCCTAGATGAACTAAAGTGCTTGATTGGCGTCAATGGACTCCTAAATATTGATTAAGGCATAAAAATTCAAGATTGTAAATACCTGATCATATTTGAATCTTTAGGGTAATAGGTCATTTAAATCCCGCTTGATATTAACATAAGGTCTGACAACCTCATCAATGAGGAGCAAGCTTTAACCAATGTCAGATGTGACTCTAAAATGTATATGTTAAAAATCGAATCATTTAAAATATGCATATTAAGTTAAATTCTCTAAACTCTCAATCTTTCTCTACGCTAACTTAAAGTACTATTGGACCTTTTTACTTACGTTAAAGCATTAAGGCAGACTTCTTTGAAGTTTTTATAATCCTCAGGGGACATCTCATTTTTAGCAAAGGTAAATAGCTTATATATCTTATCGCGGAGCTCAGCCTCGAACTCTGGAGTCAAGTCTTTCATAATAGTTAGATGTGCAATTAATTGATTTAATGCAAAATTTTATTATTCTAGTCATCTTCTTTTTATACATATTTTTGCGCCAAGGGGTTTTGGGGTTTTGGGGGGATCGGAAGAGCAC